TCCATTGAGCTAACCGCCTCCCGGTTAGCTCAATGGATAGAGCGCTGGACTGTTGTGCGGGAGGTCGAGGGTTCGAGCCCCGGCCGGACCAACACTCAAGGTCTTAAAATAATTGAGAAGAATATGCTACCTTTCTATAACATCAAGAAATGGTTAGATATTCTAGTCTTCTTGGATAGGGACGAATAAATGGAGGTCCCGTCTCCTGCAGGGTTAGGGGTGGAAGACGTTAATTTCCCACGCACGAGTTTACTGTGTGATGGATGTCCTCCCCTGGGGTGGGATGGGCGGGTTAGGATTGATTGTAAAGCGCTGTTGATCTGTCATTGTAAATAGCGCTCTATAAGTGATAAATTGTTGTTGTTGATATCCTTGGATCATTTTTGTCACCATCAAGGTTTTGCTTAGACGTGTGCAAATAAAAATTTGTTTGTCACACAACTAACCGTGCATGAAATAAACTCGAGTTGGCATCATGTTTTTGTGCTGCTTTGTGGTGCTCTTAGTACTATAAAATTCATTTGAGAGGTGGAAGAGCAGGCAGGTGAGAATTTTTTTTCAATTCAGCTACCAGTAGATTTCTAAATTGTCACAGATAGATAGATACCTTAGATAGATAGTTTCATTAAAAATCACATGGCAGCCAAATAAGGCTGAATTGCATGATTATTTACAATACAATACTGGCTAAAAATATAAATTATATTTAAAGAGCATATTGTTTTCAAGAATAATAAAAGGACAATACAGATACCTATTGTGAAATATGACGCAGTTCGCTATGTAGAAATGGAACTCTTTTTATTAAACTCTAAAATACGATCCTCAGTCTGACCTCTGCTGCCACACTGTGCATGCATGTCCATGTTACGTCACAACACTACACCTATTGTCTGCACGTGGCTGGTAATTACATCTGGGAGAAACACTTGGTGCGCATTATTGGGTTAACAAACTAAAGTTGATTTCTAAGATTATAAGTAATAAATTATGGTTCTTCAGTGGCAAAAAGTGATAAAGTTTGTGCTCGGTATTGGACACTACTGGTTCGAAAAGTTTATTACATTGCTTGATATGTCTATCCTTCAGTGAGTTTAGGTTAAACAATGATATAACAATGACATAAACCACACCTCACTATTACCTGCATTGGCACGTGCTTAATTAAGAAAAAATCAACAGATTACCTGTGGGTAAACTGCTGGAAATTACGGTAGCAATCCCGAATGGATTGCATAAACTTCCTAATACTGAATCTGAGAAGTCTAAAGAATAATTAAATTATCACACGCAAAGAATAATTAAATTATCACATGTAAAGAACAGTTCAATTATCACTTGCAATGTTTCAAGATTGGGGAATACTATTCAGGATATATCAGCTGATGTTCCTGAATGTTTGCTGGGGCAAATTTGGTCAAAAGATGATGAAATAAACATAATCAGCGATAGTCTTTGTTTGATCGTCAATCACAATAACACACGCGCAAGTCCTTATAACTGTACTTATCTTCTATTAGGTAAGCTCAGTTGTTTCAACTTCGTCCCGGCAATAGCATAAACGTAACAGAGGCCAATTTAGGGTTTCCCGAGGCTTTTCTCATATTAAGTAATTTGCTCATTTATTTATTCTTAGCGGGACGGTCTCCTCGCTTTCTCTTGAAGCCATAATGCAACATCATAACAAAAGCTGTAATTTTTAAATTTGTGACCTTTGAATCTGTAAGGACTGCGAGTTGAAACCTGTCAACTAAGAATGAAATAATCGACCTTTGTACTTAATATAAGTCCGAAGCTCGAGCGAACAAATTTCTTTCTTTTAATTTCCAATGCTAAATAAATATAACACTCACCGTCCCACGAACTGCNGACGAGTCGGTTGGATCAGATTCGTTACCTTTACCACGCTCGAGGGACACCAAGATGGCGGATAGTAACCGTTGCTAAGGTTTTGGTCACGTGGGTGAAACCCAAGGATAGGAATAAATTTAAACAACTTTTCAGAAAGTTTCGGGTTTTCCCTTTTCCTATTTTTTTTGCCTTTGCAAAAATTCGATGAACATTTCAATATTTCTTCGCATATTTTTCGTGATAGCGGTTGTTTCTTACGCGTTCTCTGGTAATTTTGCGCGGGAAAATGGCAGTTAATCCCCTCATGATCAAGCATGCCTGATCGCTTTGTTTGCTCTCTTAGACCTCTCGCGCCGTCGCATTGTTCGCCAGCTCAAATCTCGTGAGCTTGTGAGGTTTATGAGTGTCTGGTTGCAAGTTTCTCTAGATCTGTGGTTAGTTGAAATTACTAGATTACCAGATAACTGAAAGTACGTTAACAACGGAAATGGATGGTTAGAAGCCACCTCTATTTGCGAGCAACTCTTTTAAAGTTAAGTTTATTGTTGTGAAGAACGAAAAATACAACTTTCAATAAACGTTTATACCGACGAAATTTAGGGTGCAACTTTTGAAATCTAAGTAGCAACGTTTTTTATTTTTGCCAGTCTTTTAGCAACTTTTTGGCGATTCAGTGAGCAACTTTCCATTATTATGTTTACAAGCACAATCGGGACAGGCCTGTACCACCACTGCCCTTAGATGAAATGCTGGTCCGTTATCATAATGTATTTTTGCACAGCAGTACAAAAGCATCCATATCGAATTTGGTTTCGAAGACCACGAAGCATTAAAACAATAAAAACGAAATTACCATTTGATATTGGTCGCCGTCTGTCAGAGGAGGAAGAAAATCCTGACGATGGTGATATATTGTTTTCAGGTCGATTGTCTTCAATATACGAATACACCACCACGATGAAGTAAATCTGAAGGGGAAAAAAAGGAGATAATGAGGCAAGACCCAGGCCTTTATCGGTTTAAGAGTGGGTAGTTAATCGAGTAGGAGAATAAATAAAGCGCTGTTTAATAGAGAGTCGTAGTCCAAAACCAAAATAAAGGAAAATACCTTTTGCGAACTGATGAAAATTCAAAGAAAAAGTAACCAACTGCGTGGCGGAAAAGAGCGGGAAAATGGCGGGGAAACGCGATCAAGTGAAGGCTTTCTTTTGGCATCTGATTGGTTAAGAGAGTTGCGCGAGTTTTCTGGACCATTCACAGTGCGAGGGTGAGAAAAAAAAAAACAAAAAAAAAGACTCAAAAATTTCGGATTACTATCGATACTCAAATAAAAATTACTCTAGGACTGAAACAAACATACCGACAGCAACCATCCAATGCCATAAGGAATGAAGAAGACGGCAAACTGAAGCATAGAAGAAAATAACAACAATGTTCAGTTGGTTTGTGGAGAAACTTTCTACTGGTACTTAATAAACATTTTTGTTTCAGTTTACCCCATTCCAGACGACAATAAAAAATACGATCACTCCAAAATCGAAAAAGAGCTCGAACATGCTCCAGCCAAGCCAAGGATATGCCAGACGCTTTTCACCCTGAGACAGAAAAGAACAACGATCAGTGACGTTAACTTACAAATGAATAAATGCGTACATGAACCAATGAGGCTGAAGGTGACCTAGTTGGGATAGAGACCTGTATCTAATTTGCATGAAAACAAAGTGATTTACATTTGAAAAGCAGCAACGTTTGTATCATAACAAGTTGTTAGCCTCACTGTAAGGCTTTTGTACATTATGCTAGCATTTTTTCGAGCCTTTTAGTGAAGCAAAAGCATTGAGCATTATTCAAGCATTTTAGTGGCATTTTCCCGGAAAATTAATTTTTTCGAGAAAATAAAATAGAAATTAACTTTTTCCAGTCCCGCTTTTAATTCACGAAACAACCTAATACAGCTGAGTGGAGCTGGAGACTGAGGACAAGTCAGCGGTTTGACCTTTCGAGACTCAAAAGGCGCCATTTTTGTTTTCTTCGTGACCCGTGTAAGTTACACGNGACCAGACTGGAATATTGATAAATGATATATAACAATGTAGGAACGAAAAAAACAACAACAACAAAAAAGAAACAAAACAAAAACTAAGAGAAACAGTGCAGTGAAACAAAGCTAATCTTCGTGCAATTCTGTCTTACAAAAGCCGGCTCACTTCAGTTGCATAATCTAACATCTAGTTCTACAATTTCTAAAAAAAGGAATTATTGTGAACCTCTAAGACAAATTTTACCATAGCCTTGAATCTTCTCTAATTATTTTAAGTAACATGCAAACTTTGTGTTCTTTTAAAAGAGAATTATAGTGTTGGACTTACCGAGCAAGTGGACCCCAGAAGCAACAGGTTCACCAACAGTGAGATCACTTTAAACGCGAGGTTGACATAAGCCAGTCTGGTGATCACTTTAGAGATGACCATTAAAAATAGTCAGTCAATAAAAGATAAAGGATATATAAGGGCTGCTAGGGGGATTCAAATTGATCGACCCTGTTTATCTGTGAAAGATACCACTTTGTCATTCGTATCCCTAGGTCAAATCAAATGTTTTATTTCCAGTATCATTGTCAAAGAAATATTTAAACAAAAAACATCATTTAACGGCTGACTTTCGCTCAAAGTCATTGTCTTTTTAGAAAACTTTGTTCATTTCTGTCGAATCCAACTAGGATAAAGTTGGCAACATGAAAAGGCCTTTCATATAAGCAAAGAACCTACCAACTTCACATCATTTCTTAGCCGGGCATAGGTTCCAATTTAATCAGAGGAGTGTCAAGCGGAAACTATCCTTAGACTTGTCAAACCTGATCCCCTGGCTGAAGTGAGGTTTCTGGCAGATATGATGTGACATAAGCTTCCCTGGGAAGGTACCTCTGGCAGAAAGTATGCTAGACATTTCCTTAGAATACTGTCGATTGAACGTCACTTCTACCGCGAAAGATCGCGGCAAGATAGTGATATGTTATTAAAGAACCACACATTTCGTTGGGCAATCTTTCAACTGCAGATATTTTTGTCCTAAGCAGTGTGTGCTTTCTAAAAAATAATAGAACAAGACAGAAGTAAGTTGTAATACCGAGAAAATGCTTTTTGCTGAAAGGCAAATCTTGGCTGAGTTCAACGGCGTTCTCCTCTAGTTGCTTATAAAATTTAATAGATTGACTTTCTCGGTTAATTGAGTATGCTGATATGATCTGAAATATAAAAAGAAAAGCAACAACAGATCAGATTTGAAGTATGACACCAAATCCAAATTACGCAGATTGTCAATATCAGTCATCATAGTAAGTAAGTAAAATTTTTCTGTAACGCCGAATGTCAATGTTTGGTTTCCGTATCACTGTACTTGTCACGTTCGACTTAAAAACGTGAAACTAGTATTTAACAAGTACAAGTTTGAATCTTATGAAAGTCTTAAATTTTTTTCAAGCGTAATTTCTTCGACTTCTTTTTTGCTCGCTCACCTTCCAGGATCATCATCTTTGCTGCGATAAATGAGTTGCAAATGCAACATCAGATTTTACGTTAGATCAATTTTAAAATCATACTGAACACAGTCTAGGCAAACAAATCAACATGAATGATCGTATTTGAGCAAGTAAAAGTTATGAAGTTTTCAGTTAATTTCTGCGTCCTGAAATGTTAGAAACGCGAATACCTTTGTGTTGACAGTATCATTTGTACCGCAAGTTATTTGTATGGTTGACAACAACATAATCGTTTTTGATCAGATAAAAACATTTTGGAAACCACGCTTTAAATCTTAATAAATATTTCAAGCGATGGAACGAACTTTACCGCGGTTAACCAGTCCGCTGTTGTTCGTGATTTTCTGTGGAACATAATGTTCCCAGTTTTTACGAAATCGCGAAAATCGTGAAATCAGGTAGACGGCTAATATATAAAAAGGAGAGGGATGTTTCAAAATTTGATATGATTAATCATAGTTCAAACTCACCAGGCCGAAGATACAAAGAATATTTACACCTGTTCGTAGACTGCAGCCGCAGCAACAAGTTTCCACCAAGACTGCCATTGTAGACAATAAGTCGAAATTACTCTTCTGAACGTCAGACTCAACGGAGGTGAGAGGTAGCTGCCGGATGCTTTTAAATCTTTTACTTTTAAGCGGATCCGTTCAAAAAAATTGCTCTATGTACTTTTCCGTGCATCTTGGTGATTTACTACCTACGTTGACAAATTTCCGGTGTCAAAACAAATTGAACGGTTGGATAATCACAAGCTTCCAGTGATTTCCGTATAAACCAAGGTCAGTAAAAATACAGCCAGGATTACGTCCCCATCGCTATATTTATGCCGCTATACAAGGTTTTCTGGAGAAGATTTCAACAAACTCAACTTTACAAGCGATTAAACTGGATTTCAGTTATTAGAAAAGTTACTTAGTATAAATTGTGTTACCGAAACTANTGAGTGCCAAACTGAGACTGTCCTCAGACTTGATAAACTTGTTCCCCTGTTGGCTGAGGTGAGTTTTCGGGCAGATTTGTTGTGACAAAAGCTAGGCTGGGAAGGTACTTCTCGCAGAAAATATGTTAAACGTTTCCTTAGAATACTGGCCGGTTCAACGTTACTTCTACGACGCTAATTTCACGAAAGATCGTGGCAAAAAACTACACATTTCGTTGGGCAATCTTTCAACTGCAGATATTTTTGTCCTAAGCATGTGTTATTTTTAACAAATATAATAGAACAAGACAGAAGTAAGTTGTAATACCGAGAAAATGCTTTTTGCCGAAAGGCAAATCTTGGCTGAGTTCATCGGCGTTCTCTTCTAGTTGCTTATAAACTTTAATAGAATGACTTTCTTTGTAAATTGAGTATATCGATATGCCCTGAAATATAAAAAGAAAAGCAACAACAGATCAGATTTGATGTATCACACCAAATCAAAATTACACAGACTGTTAACATCACTCATCGTATTTCAAGGTAATGACACCGGGATACCCCAGCCGTAAGAAAGAAAAAAACACCCATACAGAAAAATGTCTTTAGCGCTTATCATACAGCAGTACGTAGGGAAGTAAAATTTTTCTGTAACGCCGAATGTCAATGCTTGGTTTCCGTATCACTGTTCCACTGTTCTTGTCGAGTTCGACTTAAAAACGTGAAACTAGTATTTAACGGGTACAGGTTTGAATCTTATGGAAGCCTTATTTTTTCAGGCGTAATTTCTTCGATTTCTTTTTTTTCTCGCTCACCTTTCAGTATCATTTCTTTATTTCAATAAATGCGTTGCAAATACGGCATCAGATTTTACGTTAAATCAATTTTAAAATCACACTGAGCGCAGTGTAGGCAAACCAATCTACTTGAATGTTCATATTTGAGCAGGTAAAGTTATGAAGTTTACAGTTAATTTCTCCGTCCTTAAATGTCAGAAAACACGAATACCTTCGTGTTGACAATATAATTTGTACCGCAAATTATTTCTATGGCTAGTAACAACATAATCAAAAACGTTTTGGAAACCATGCTCTAAATCTTAATAAATATATATTTCAAGCGATGGAACGAACTTTAGCGCGGTTAACCTCCGCTGTTGTTCAGACGGCTAAGGTATAAAAAGCAGAGGGCTGTTTCAAAATTTCAAATAATTGGTCATTCTCAAACTCACCACGCCGAATATACCAATAATCTTTACAGCTGTTCGTAGGCTGATGCAGCAGCAAAAAGTTTTCACCAAAACTGCCATTAATTGGAGGTGGTAAGTCGAAATTACACTTCTGAATGTCAAACTCAACTGAGATGAGACTGAGCTGCTTGATGCTTTTAAATCTTTCACTCTTGAGCAAGTCCGTTCAAAAATTTCCTCTTTGTACTTTTCGTGCTTCTTAGTGGTTGACTACCGACGTTGACAAATTTCCGTCGTCAAAACAGATGGATTGGTTGGACAATCATAGGCTCCCAGTAATTTCCGTAAATAGAGTCAGTAAAAATACAGCCAGGATTACTCCATCATCGCTATATTTATGCTTTACAAGGTTTGCTAGAGAAGTTTTCAACAAACTCAATTTTGCAAGCGATTAATTAAATTTGATTTCAGTCTTTGGAAAAGTTAAGTATTTAGTGTAAATTGTGTCATCGAAACTGACAGGTTTTAGTTCATCACACACTACGGAAACTTGCAAATTAACTTCAACTGAAAGAGGAAAAATATTCTTTTCAGTCTCGGCCGAGATCTGATTTTCGTAATTAAGCGAATGAATGTGATACAATCCATCCGCGTTTTTATCTTATACGAAAGCCCCTAGGTGGGCATAGTTGCACGACTTCTTCCAGGTACTAAATTTCATGGCGGACATGGCGGTGAAAACCAAGACGTAAGGGTAGAGTTTAAAACACAACAAAGGTATTGTTTTAATTTTTTTTCCCGGCTACAGCTGCTTTCATTCAGTAATAAAGCTATTTTATTTTACGCACGTGG